ATGAGCAAGCACTGTTACAGCATTCAAGACATGGGCCAGAGTCACCTCTCACATATCAAATAAAAACATTAGAGGTTACATTTCAGTAATCACACTGGTAACTTCTAAGTAAAATCTCATAAGCCTAGAAGTCATTCAACTCATGTGATATTTAGAAGGAAAACATATTGATTAATACCTTGATTATATAATTACACATTAGATACATTGATGCAGCAGAGGACGAAGCAATCCTTTATTTTACATGCAGCTTGTGAATGACTCTTCTGCTGGAAAAAATAATTGATATCCTTATATCTTATTTTGAAACAGAAATAAGCAATGTTTTTAATACGTGAGACTTGTGATTAGTTTGCCGCCTATAAAGAACTTGAATAATAAAAAAATGCAGTGATTGCCACTGTAGAACTATTTGTGCTACAAATCAGTGTTTATGATTATGATAATAAATTAAAATAATATAATATGTACCAGTTTGCAATATCATCAAGCAGCATAACAAAGATTTTGTACAGGAAAAATAACTGGAAGCGAATGACGCGGGAAACCTCGCACATTCAAATTGCATGAAAAAATAATGTGGATAAACAACAACAACAAAAAAAATCTAAATATGAGGATACTCCTTTGGGGGTTAGAAACACCCCTGGTTTCAGACCACTACAATGGCTGTACCTTTAAATAGTGCACTATATAAGGGTATAGGGGGGCGATTTTGGACACAGCTTAGGATTTCAACAAGACATTTTAAACTCCAGACTATAGGATTATCAGAAAGTTTCCACTCAGCTGCAATGGAAAGTCCCGGGCAGCTATAGCTAAATAAGACCCCATTTGAGCCCCCACAAATGCAACAGGGTCTCACCTCGCACCCTGTTCCATGTGGCCTCTCTTCATAGTCTCATACTGGCATGTTCCCAACAAAGTTCAAAATCAGATTCTGTTATGCAATGCATATGTAAGATATTGCCTAGCTCATCTGCAGGCAAATTACTGTAATGAAATTAGTGGGTAAAGACATGGCTCTATAATATGGTTACTGAACGACAACCATCTTCAAAAATCTCAGTGCCAAGCTGGAGGTTTCCTGCCAACCTTTAGAAACATAAATACACATAATTAAAAAATTCCAGCCCAAATCCACAGCACAAGACTTTTGCAGGCGGTCTGTTCTCCAGTGCTCCAGCACAGAGTTTCTTTCCTGAAAACTGTTGACAGCATCCCTTTTGTCTTTCTCTGTCACCTTCCGTCTTCTCCACGATCAATACACTGTCAATCACTGTCGGGCCAAACGCCCACACATACAGTCTGTGAGCAGCAGAACCAGAGACTCAGCACAGAAATGCTGATCTAACTGCGTCTGGCTGTGATCTAGCTCAAAGCTTAGTCAGCTACAACTCATCAAATCTAAAGCAATGAGAGCAGTTTGACATTCTCTGACTGAAGGTTGACATAAAGTTAACCTTCATATGACATAAACCAAACAATTAACCAAAGAAAAAAGAGCAAGACACACTGTATATGTGCAGGATCATCATGAATCAACCAGTCAGCTTCGTTTGAAACAATTTTCTTTGGTCAAGCAAAAATTGCAACTGTAATTGTAACTGGCAACATTGTGTCTACAATCTAAAGGGTGGAATACATTAAAATACTTTTGTCCCAGTTTACAGTCTTGACGAGTCAGCTGTAAGTAAAAAAAATTGACGAATTTCACTAGCCTGGCTGACGCCAGACCACGTATCATTGAGAAAGAAACATGGTCTGGAAACCACATGTTCATTTTCTCGTATTTGAGGCGTGGTTTACGAATGCCTAGAGCCAAAAAGACGATGGGTCAGAGATTAAGGAGATTTAAAGGTGCAATATGCAGGATTTTTGCAGTAAGATATCCAAAAACCACTAGGACAATGTTGTATATTTTGTTTAGCTGATTACTTACAGTATCCCAAATGTTTCCAACTATTTGTAAATCGTGAGAAAATTGCGATTTTTAACCAAGGAAACGGGATGCGTGAGCAGGGGTGAGGAGTCGCCAGTCAACAATGTCATATCCGCGTTACCCCCGGTTTCCGCCAGGTTTGACCTCGTACTGCAATAACCATGGCGACAGACGTGGACAACTGGGTCGGTTATGCCCGTTATGCGTGCTCAACAGCGTGAGCGTCCCTAGCAGGGTTTTGTTCAAACATTATGGATCATGGCAAGCAGACTTTGAGACAAAAAGAGGACTAAAATGAAGATCAACATCTTTCGAGATGCCGAGAGCTCCACGTCCGCGACTAGTGAGAAAATGTGAGAAAATCAATGTATATAAAACTAATCAATGTTATTTAGTTCAACATGATGAAAAGTTAGAAAATGATCTGTATGTTATTCTCTAATGTTATTCTAGCTTAGTCTCATACAGCCAACAAACAACCTAATTAACAACATTAAACACACAAATGCCGTTTGGTGTGATAGCGAAACTGTTAGAGCAAGTGAAGCAGCTGCATTACCTCAAGTTTAATTCCTCTAATAAACTGACCTGTGCAAGTAATTCAGCGTGTAGTTCGGTAGAATTAAATGTCCTTATTCCTTTAACTGTTATATCTGTGGGACGTTGCGTGTGAAGCTGGTATACGTCTAGCAATTGCGCCCTGCTTCATTCTACTCTGCTTAATGTATTCACTCATCCATAAAAGATCCATCAACTTGACGACAAGATCCATAATTCCGCTTAATGCAGAATATACGTCATCAATATACGCCATTGTTATTGTAAGAGGTAAGCGACCCCTGGTGGCGAAAAAACCTTTAACGTAAAACTTCAAATAATAGCCGAGTCCCAAATAGTCTGTTTCTTTTACACACCTGGTGTGGCTGCAGGTTTGGGTAAATAAAAGCCGGTCTCAAATCTGTTTTTTTAGTTTCGGGTTGTTAATCTTCGAAAACTTTTTTGGCGGCCGCAAAAGCAAATTTTTGTCCCGCCAAAGCCTATTTTGATTGATGAGCGATGTAGAATAGAATGAAAAAGATGGATCCATAGATATAAACAAACTGTTTCGATGTGTGTCGGATATACGTCGTCATTGTCGTGCTGCTCCCTCCCTGTTCTGTGATTGGTTCCCTATCGCAGGGGAAAATTTGGTTCATGGTGTCTAGGCTGCCTAGAAGCGTGAATAAAATCGCGCTGCTGCATAGCAGCATGGGGAAATACAATTTTACAGAAAGTCTAACACAATCTCATGGAAATGAGAAATTTTGCATTTGGCAAATTGTCGTGTGAATTTGTACATTCGTACATTTTCGTATGATCCGCTTAAGCCCCAGTGACGGGTATGTTAAAGGAGAACTCCGGCGAACAATGAACCTTTGGTCTAATAAAACATCGGTACATAGTCAACCGTTCTCTGAGATTTGTTTTCATGATAATCGAATGTAAAGAGTTTTATCTCTAAAAACTGTTTAGCGTATAATGCTAGTAATGGGGGCATTGACTTAGTAAAAAGAAATCGCTAGTTTATACCACTAACAAGGCTCCAAATAGCCCCACACTAACGCAGTAATATAATGAGGCTCCATACATGCAAAACGAAGCATTGAGAACTTTGTAAGTGTACAGACCGTTTAATAAGAAGATACTTTATGAAGACAGTTCACTTCATGTATACAGACAGGAGCCATTTTAAAAAATAGTCTCGATAAGTCAAACCACGAACGTCGTGCTGAGTGATCAGAACTGTATGAAGTTCAACGAACTTCTGAACTGTATGAACAGCGTTCGGGGATCGACTTATCGAGACTATTTTTTAAGATGGCGCCTGTCTGTATACGTGAAGTGAACTGTCTTTATAAAATATCTTCTTATTAAACGGTCTGTACACTTACAAAGTTCTCAATGCTTCGTTTTACATGTATGGAGCCTCATTATGTTACTGCGTTAGTGTGGGGCTATTTTGAGCCTTGTTAGTGGTATAAACTAGCGATTTCTTTTTACTTAGTCAATGCCCCCATTACTAGCATGTACGCTAAACAGTTTTTAGAGATAAAACTCTTTACATTCGATTATCATGAAAACAAAACTCAGAGAACGATTGACTACTGTAGGTACCGATGTTTTATTAGACCAAAGGTTAATGGGCTTTATGCCCAGCTGCACTACTTCCTGAACTTCAGCCAGCTCCTTGTTTCCTGTCTGCCATTATTGGCCAAATTGATTAATTCAGGTGTGCTTGACCTCAGTAGTCATGGCAACAATAATCAGACACACCTGAATTAATCATTTTGGCCAATAATGGCAGACAGGAAACAAGAAGCTGGCTGAAGTTCAGGAAGTAGTGCAGCTGGCCATAAAGCCAATTGTTCGCCGGAGTTCTCTTTTAAATGGTATGTTTTTGTATAATTCATACAATTTCATACAAAAATCAACATTTGATGTTTTGAGCTGATTTTAGAACTCATGTTTTCATTTTGTCACATGACTCCTAACAATGAGTTGCAATTTCCTGTGTGGGTTGTGTTCGGACCGCTAGTGTATGATGCCTAGTGATACAAAATCTTTTCAGGTTTTTAAAAGTCATAGTGTAGTGAATTCAGGTTAATCGGGATGCTTTCTGCCATTGAGACTGTATGGGAAAAGTGGCACAAACAACTTGAGTTCACCTATGTGCCCATCATACACTACGCCATTTTCCGTGAAATCGATGAACACTGACTCAGCCCTAAATGGCTCTTACTCACAGCAACTAGTGTCAACTTGTGGCAAAAAATATTTTGGCAAATCTCCTGCAGTCTATTACAGCCAGCAAGTTAGATTTTGATGAACGAATATGAAGAGTTTTAAAAAAAAGAAAAAAAAAAAATTTTACATGCATGAATTGTGAATACTTCAGGAATATAAGAAAGTAAATGAGAGTTAATTTTGATTCCATGTTCACATTTGTATTGACATTGAGTACTAGCATTTTTTTGTCTCAAAACTCATATTTAAGATAAGAAGATGAATGGGTCCAATATAAAGGTCAGTGGTAAGTTAGCTTTTCAAGCTTTATTTCAACATGATTACAGGACAGTATCAAACATGTTTTAATATTGAGAACATCTTTCAAATTACACTAGGACAAAACATTCAGTCTCTTTTGTATGTTCGTTGTGCAATATATATCATCTTTTCTCAGTTTGTACAAACACAGTATGAGGATAACAGTCAGTTATAAGCTTAATGCACTTTAACTCCAAAAACGCCTCCCTGTCATAGGCCGTCAATGTATCGAAATGTGGCAATCCTGCTCTTTTTAACAAGAGTATACGATGAACATGCAGTTGCACCGGAATAACACATTCAAGACACTTATTTCCATATTATATCCATAATATTTTACATGAAATCTACAGATAAGTCAGGAATATCACCCCAGAAATGTAAGCAAAGAGGTTCCTGTAGCAAATGCGTCATATAGCTTATGGAAAACTGGCTTAGAGTTGATCAAAAAAAGTAACATAACTCAAAGGTACTTAAGCAAAGTTTCACTGAATATAACAGTAAGTAAGTGCTGTATGCTACACCTCGGGTCATGTAATCACAAAGGCTAAAGCACACTGTATATGCTGAGGTATATTCAGACTGGACTTTGGCACTGGGTATGAATCAATTTAAAGCCTTTGGAACGACATAAACAGTCCAGCCTTAATCCAACAGTCTTTAGCCTGAATAGCAGCAAAATGCTACTCCTGCAATAGTAGACAGTACAAAATGTTCAATAACAGCTGTAGAGCCTTCACATACTGAATGGTTTTCCCAACATAATCTCATGGCAATTCATAACTATTTTACATTCGGCAAATTGGTAGCTAATTCGTATGAATTTTTATGTACCATTTCTACATTTCTTCAGAAGCTGCTTACGCTCCATTGACAGTAGGTTTTGGTTCGAATTTATTCAAAATAAATCGCTGGATCATAAAATAGTTACTCATGAGATTGGGTTGGTTTTTCAACCCTAATTTAAGATCTGTAGACTCATAACCCTAATAAACAAACCGTATTTGCTTTACTTCAAGACTGCAAGCTCTTGAAGCGCAAGACAACAGCGTGGAACTAGGCTAAACTGTGGAATATGTGCACCTTACTCCACACATGGAGGTGGAAAGGTTCTGGATATTTTTAAGTGGTTTCCTGAGATATGATGGAAATGTTAGACTAAGTGTGACCCAGCAAGACATACTGAGAGCCTGGAAAGGAGGGTATTCTGACCTTAAACATCTGTAATAAAGTATTGTCAATCATTAGTATTGTAGTATTATTGTGGTTACTGCTGAAGTACATTCATACAGCCTTTTTTAGATTCAATTTTTAGCCAGGGTCCAAAAATAACACCTGCCATGCGCCAACGGGAGTAAAATGTGAATTTGGTGAGAAAGTAAATGGATTTACTGGCCATTTGGGTCAATACAACAATGGTTTAAATTGCATGAAACCACTAAAGCGAGAGTATAAATGGTATATGAGAGGTAATGTTTCACATTAGGGTGAGTAAAATGGTGGCAAATCCAACAAAAACGTAGCTTTTTTCAACAATAATTTCAAGTCTATCATTTCGTAGGAGTGCGAGACAGTGTTTCTTGAACAGCGTGAACTGTGAAGTCGGATTCGAGAACAAACTCTGTAAAAATATACTGTTAATATTATAGTAAAGTTCCCAAAGTGCCCTTCAAGTGTGCAAAAACACATTTTTGAAATTCGCCAGTTCTTTTTATGGAGTGATGGAGTGATTTGCTCGGAGACCAAATCGGTGAATCGTTCAGAGATGTTACTGAGTTTAAAAGTAACTCCCTCACTGAACCGTGAATCATTTTTTGGTTATGTTCGAATTAAATCGAAGCGTGTACTGAAAGCCAAAGTCAGATGCATGCAATGGACTAAAGCACTTCTGAACTTTATAGCCATTCTGACATTTGTCAATTACAAAGTAATTTGGCTTTTAGCTAAATATAATTTTTGTGAGCCCACTTTTTTTTTATATATCTGGAACCTTAAATTTTCTACATTTCTTTTCAATATACCCGCTGTTGAGCTGTATGGCAACAGGTTAATTTTGGACCCAGTATGCAAAGCTGTACTGATCCTAATGTACATCAGAGTTAAATTATTAGGATTCTTCCAGGGCCAAGCAGCAGTTTGGTCTAAGCCTACATAATATTACAATTAAAGATATGAGCTTTGACTCATTTACATGCCTCGGTAATGATCTCTGCTGACACGTCTACTGCAATCTCAGCCTCATGCTAAATACTATAGTAACAATGTCACATTGCATTCCACATACAGAGCACCCTGTGTAAGGGAAGGTGGGATGGACCAGGGGAAAATGTCTTTCCTCTGAAACAGTACTACAGTACTTTGAGGTATTGAGGAGTCTTTTACCCATCTCCAAGGGCACCCAACTCGCTTCATTCCTCTTGCCAACCACACTGGCCAAATGTCGAGCCAGGGCTGGGCAGCAGGCAGCAGAGGCTGAATGAACGGATATTGGTGTCTGAAGTACTGTTAAGAGCAGAACCGTGGCTTTCCTTTCCCGAGTGAGCTACGTGGCCTCAGAGCATCATGTCAAGAAAGAGTTCAGCTAATGTGTTTGTGATAATTCCCTCAATGATTTCTACTCTCAGTTTATCTGCTGAATCTATGGTGTTCAGTGTCGTTGTTTATATGGATCTCGCCAGCTGAATTGAGACACTGCTTTCTCGTGTCCTCATGTGAAATACTTGCAGTTTGTCGAGTCAATGAAACAGTCAGCTGTGCATTTGAGATGTCCATAAGATCTGTGGAGAGAAAGATGGACATTATTATTGTTTGGACATTTTGTCAAATATTATAGTCTGCTTTTTCAAGGACCATGGGGTGTTCCTTTATTTTTGTATGGGTTTTTAATCTAAACAAAATTATTTAAAAAATTTACTTTAATATAAAATTGTGATTGAGGAAAAAAATAATATATTAATATTCAATAAATTGTCTTTAACTACTATGTACTAACCATTGCCTTACAAGTAATGCAAGTAAAGTAATTAGATTACTTTTTCCAAGTTACTAGTAAAGTAACACATTGCTTTTTTTTTAAAGTTACTTATTCAAATAAGTAACGAAAGTTACTGTTTCCCCATTTATTGACTGACACCTCTCCTCTAGTTCTAGACTAAACGTGAACATCCATTGTCTCATCTCACTTGCGCAAAAACAGATTCAGTATTCCTCAAAATGAACAAAAAGCACAAACCTATAATAATTAGATATGTTAAATAACACAAATTTACTTTGCTGCTGACCTTTGATGGGACCAATAAATTAAATTATAATTGTAGATTTTGTGTTCATTCGTACTCTTACATGTTCAATGGGATTTTAGCCTTTTTGAACTTTTATTATATTGGCTTGATATGTCTTACCCAGGCAAAAAGGATCTGCAAGTGTGAAAGCCGAAATCCTTTCTGTCACACTCTTCTGCCGCTTCATAGCGATATCCATCCCCACAATATGCAAATTTGCACTCTGGGAAAGAGGGAAAAAAAGAATGAGATACGTACACTGTAAAAATTTACAGTAAAAAACAACAACATTTCTATAAAAAAAAAAAGATTTACAGTAAAAAACAACAACATTTCTATAACTGAAATAATGTAGACCAAACGACAAATCTGTTTCAAGCGGCAACATTCTAATCTGAAAAATCCTACCCGGAAGTGCGAAAAACTGTAATACATCTAAAATCCGCTAGAGGGAGGTCCCAAAAGGGAGCTAATATCCATAGACCCCATGTTAAAATGTCCGTTTTCACAGCATAAATTCATATGTTTACAGTTTGGTCCCATGGACTTTTATTGTATTTTTCGATGTTCCGCGTGCCTGACAACTGTGAGGGGGGTGAATTTTTTTTCCAACTCGTTAGTTTAGATCGTATTTAGATGTAAAATGTATGACAAATAAGGGCGGTTAACTTTGATTGACAGCTGATAACGGGCTGCGCCGAGTGAATTTGACGTCTCGGCCATGATCTGACACATCACATGATACCACCTCTGTATCCTTTCTGAACATTTGTATTTTGTATTTCCCAAGATTTTCCAGTATGGCGCCGCCCATACCCCTCATAAACAGCCTCAAACCCGTTCTTCAGAAAGTCTATGGGTGACGTCACAGACGCTTTGTCCATATTTTTTACAGTCTATGATCTGTTTGTAACCTTTAAAATATACAGACAACTACCATAACAACTATCACACGTTGTGTGTTCATCACAAGTAGCTTTTCCACAAGCTGAGGGAAATACTAGTATATAGAAGATGTCATTCACACAAATATGAAACACCATCATGGTTTTTTAAGTTAAGGGTTCAAGTAATTTATCTTTTAACCACGTTAAAAACAAATTGCGATATTTCTTTTTACAGTGAGAGATAAATGTACAATCTGTCTGTAATAAACGCAAACATACCAACTGTACATTATCCATCTTTTTACACGGCACACAAAATAAATAGAATAAATGATTATTAAATGAGAACCCAGAGACCACAGAGTGACACGAGTGATAGCACAGCCGTGTATGAAATCGGATGCCAGGGACAACAGCCAGTTGTGCAGTTAAGAGGTCCTTGTACTAAAATATTTGACCGCAGAATGCAGTGATCGACCAATCAAAATGTAGTATTCCAGAGCGCCATGTAATGAATTATGAGAGCATTTGTTTGGGTGACTACTGAATGAAGGTGTTATGCTCAGCTTGCTATACAAGACCCGATTATTCCTGCATTCCCATTTTAGAACTCACTCTCATACTAAACCGCATTACAGTACATACTGTAAGCTGCCAGCAGGAACTCCGCTGTTTCAACCAGATACTTACTGACACAGCCATCTGTGACCACCTTATTTCCGTCATCACACTCCTCTCCGTTCTCCACTTGCACAATGCTGTCTCCACAGAAACCGTCCTGGTCGGGATCCCGCTCCATCGACTGGAACGGCGTTAACTGGAATGAAAGAGTCTCATTATTAAAGTGTGTAAAACTACACTGTAAAAAAAATATTTTCAAGATTTGTTATCACATTTTTTCTTTTGTCAAATCAACTTAAATAATTAATTTAGTTGAGATAAATTATTATTTTGAGTTTCTGATGATTAAATCAATCTCCTTTGTTGAATTAACTCACTTTTTCCAGTTCAATCAACACAATTTTAAGGCAGCCAGGTTACTTACTTTAAGTTAAACCAACAATATTTTTTTACAGTGTATTAAAGTGCCCCTATTACTGTAAAAAAAATATTGTTTGTTTAACTTAAAAAAGTAAGTAACCTGGTTGCCTTAAAATTTTAAGTTCATTGAACTGGAAAAAGTGAGTTAATACAATGAAGGAGAATTATTTAATCATCAGAAACTCAAAATTATATGTTATATGAACTAAATGAATTATTTAAGTTGATTTGACAAAAGAAAAAATGGTGTGATAACTACACTGTAAAAAATATTGTTGGTTTAACTTAAAAAAGTAAGTAACCTGGGTTACCTTAAAATTTTAAGTTGATTGAACTAGAAAAAGTGAGTTAATACAATGAAGGAGATTAATTTAATCATCAGAAACTCAAAATAATAAGTTATCTCAACTAAACAAATTATTATAAAGTCGATTTGACAAAAGAAAATATGTTGTGATAACAAATCTTGAAAATATTTTTTTAAAGGTACCTAATTTTGTTTTGAAGGTCTCCTACAATAGGTTTACATGCATCCAAGGTCAAAAAACATAATATCCATTACAGGAGCATCTCTTTTCTCAGTGTCAATAATATGGCAACTACTACCCATTTATAACTTGGATTTTGTTTATTGATGGGCACCTGAATTGGCATCCAGCCATCGGTATCTTTAAAGTAAAGCGACCTCTGATCTTTACGGAACGCCAAAGCGTTGTCGGTCTGAAGGCGGTTCAGCTCCTGTTCGTTATTCACCACAAATATCTGCAACAGACATTAAATGTCATCAAATGTCTGAACGTTGGACTGGGAATCCAGCAAGGATCCAGTGAGGCGCACAAATATCTGGTAATATTCAGGCTTAATTTGTAAAGCGTGCCTGCACTGGTGGCTTACCGCTGGCACTCTGGGATAGATGCCCCGGTGCAAGTGCTGGTCAAAGGAGGGGTTGACACTCGAGGGGCTACTGCATCCGCAGCGGCCTGGGCTGCCGGATTGTCCCTTCTCTCCTTTCTGTCCTACCATGTAGAGTCCTGGAGGAGAGATAAACAACAGAAATGTCCCTCCGTGTGATGCAAAAGTAATGGAGTGATTTTAAGAGCTACTAAACCTGGCCCTCGTCTATCATGAAGAGTAAGCAATTGAGTTAATATGCACAGAAACCAAAACAAGACAGCAGCTGTGCTGTGAATAAAGTGATGACATAATGTTTGTGATTCTGCACGAAGCTTGGCCGCTCCGGCCATGAGTTAAGGGCATGATGTCATGGCTTCAGTCACCTTCAGGGCTTCTGTTTCAGTCAGAGATCAGGTTCCTTCTGAAGCTAAATAGACCAGCGGTGGGATTTCCTGAGGTGATTTAAGATCATGTGCTTCACCGTCTGCACATGGCAATGGCTAATGCTACAATATCATCATGTGATCCTCAAACTAACAACTCAGAAGATGTAGCATACAGTAAAAAATAAATATATAAATAACATAATTAGGAAATGTTTGTAAAAAGTACCATCAATCATACAACACACTACTATTTAAAGATTTGGAGGCTTTTTTTTTAAGCTTATCTTTTTTTTTTCTAATTAAATACTTTTACTCAGCAAGGATATATTTAATTGATCACAAGTGACAGTAAAGACTTTTAGTAAAAATATTTCAAATAAATGCTGTGGTTTTGAACTTTCTATTCATCAAAGAATACTGAAAAAATAAAAGTATCACGGCTTCCACAACATTAAACCGAACTGTTTTCAAAATTCAGCTTTGCCATCATAGGAACAAAAAATTAAATTTATATGTAATATAAAAAAAAATGCAGCCTTCAAAAACATTGCACCATAATAATAAAAAAAGAAAGAAAAATTGTACCAACCCCACACTGTTGAACGATACTGTAAATGTTCTAAAATTTTCATGTAATTGCCCTAGGGAAGTTTCCATCTGATACTTGTATGTAAATAAAATACCTGAGGCTGGCAAACCAGGAGGGCCGGGGTGACCAGAGACCCCCGGAGGGCCTGCAGGTCCCATGGGGCCAATTGCACCAGTGTCACCTTTTGAGCCCTGCATGACAAATCAATGATAATGGTCAATTATTTCCTAATGCTTTTGCTTTGTTATCAAGTTGCTATTATGTGTTTAAGGATGGATCACCTGCTTTCCCCTTTTTCCTGGGCGGCCGGTGGGTCCCCTGTTCCCTGAGCTTCCAGGTTCTCCTTTTGGGCCCATTTCACCCTGAGAAAGAATTTTAAAATGACATATAATAACCCTTCCCCAATCCTAACCCTAACCCTATATTACTGTATATAAGTATATACTGTATATATACTTCAGAAAAGTTTGATTAAATGACTCTAATCACATGGATTAGTTTTACTATCACTTAATGAACTTTTTGAGGCATCAAAGTGTTAATTGCGCAGGCTGTCAATGGAGGAACAGAAATCATTCAGATCTTATTAAAATATCTAATTGAAAGTCGTACAGGTTTGGAATGACATGAGGGTGAGTAATTAATAAAACATTTTTGTTCATTTTTGGGTGAACAGTCCCTTTAACTTTATTTAACTACGCTAGTTAACATGAACTAACAGTGAAAAGTACTTTTTGCATGTAATAATTTTAGTTAATGTTAATATCAACATTTACTAATACATTATTAAAATCAAAAGTACTAAGTGGTATTTGATTAATTAGCATTAACAAAGATGCAGTAAATAAATACTGTAACATTTGTATTGCTCATTGTTATTGTTAATGTTAGTTAATGCATTATCTAATGTTATCTAATGGGACCTTATTGTTACCAATACAATTAGACCACTGCATTATTATAAATAGTACTAACTGTACCATAACCTTATAAAATATATTATGTAACACAGCATATACAGTTAACCAGTATCACCTCCTCTAGCATAATCCTGTAATAATATAAAAGGCTAAAAACGTAGTAATATTTTCAGCACCTTTTGCCCAAGCATTCCAGGAAGACCAATTGATCCCTGAGACAGAGAAAGAAAAATGAATTATAGTTTAGACCGATTCAAACTTGTATTGCAACACAAGTTCTTTGGTAACTTACCTTGTCACCCTTTAAGCCAATTTCACCTCTGAAACCTTGTGAGCCCTAGCAGGACAACATCAAAACCCCAGTGACATTAAATCATTTACATTAACAAGATAAAAAGGGTCATTTAATGGACAACAGGGAAAAAGGTGAAAGAATGAATCGAATGATGAATTATAGTGGGTTCAGAGAGGTAACTCACTTTTTCTCCCTTATGTCCAGGGAAGCCCTGCAGGAAGAAATGAACATTAACACACAGAGCACATCATTCTGTGTCCATATGACAAGGCATTATGACTATAGCAATACTAATTCAGGACTTGGGTCCAGACCTTGGGTCCAATTGGTCCTCTTGCCCCTGGCATGCCCATCAGGCCAGGGTCACCTTTCTCCCCCTGTTAAAACACATACAGTAGTAGTTACTGTACACTAAAGCATTCACTGCAAATGTGTCACAAGGGTTTGGTCACACTGGCAAAACTCGAACACATTTAGTTAAACAATAATCCAAGGAACAGAAACCAGGAATCACATGAGCAGAACTGAGGACAAATACAACACAGGAAACACTGGGGTGTAAAAAACACAAACAGGAGAACTAGATAACAGGTGCAAACAAGGGGAACCAAAAGAACTCCAAAAGGACTAAAGAGCTAGAAACAGGAAACAATACAAAATAAAAGTCCAGAAACACAAAACACACAGGGAAACTTAATGCTTATCTCAGTAAGGAGTGTTAAAATGATCTTAATGCACTTGATCTTTCTATTCATCCAAGAATTAACAAAAAGATTATGTAGCGCAAATGTTTTTAACAATCTTTTATCATTTTAAATGCTATCTGCTAAAAATCCATTGATTTTTTACAAAATTATAGTAATATTTCACAATGTTACTGTTAACCGTATTTACGATCAAATAAATGCAAGCCTTGATGAGCATAAGATACTTTTTTTAAGACATAAAAGAACGTCACTGGCCCCAAATCTTTGGATGTTAATTTACAGTATGACAAGCATAAAACAGTTTTATGAAAAACATATTGCAGACATACAGTATGTAGGTGAAGAAATGTTTTGGATTCTACAGTATTTACAGAGATACAGATTATTTGATTTTTTCATCCAGACAAATGTGAATCTACTTCAAGTTAGTTCCTGGCCTCTGTAAAGAGAAGCAGCAAGAATAGTGTTCACTAGGGATGGAATGAATTACTCACTTTAGGCCCAGTTGGTCCTTGCCATCCGCTTGATCCCTGTCGCCCTGGGAGACCAGGAGGGCCAGTGCGCCCCTGTAACACATACAAGCTATGAATCTAGCACACAAAGCTAAACATTTAAAGGTACTATAAAAAAATTAAAACATTTAGCGACGTAGATGCAATGTACAACACAGCGTCTTCTCGACATGATGCGATTCAGCGGAAGTATTTGAATTTGTTCTAGACTAGACTTCAAGTTTACACTCTAAAAAATGCTGGGTTGTTTTAACCCAATTTTGGGTCAAATATGGACAAACCCGAAATGTTGGGTTAAAAATGTAATGTAAAAATTTAACCCAACGGCTGGGTTAGTCCATATTTGACCCAAAGTTGGGTTAAAACAACCCAGCATTTTTTAGAGTGTACATTCTCGTCTGCGCGCGCAGTTGTTGAGAGCGGTTTTGTATCTACGTCACAACGAAACAGCTAATGACTCATTTCAAAAACAATTCATTTCATAGACCCAGAGTCGACTCTCACTTTTGAAAGACAATAACTTTATATACGGTGAATATACATTCCCTTAGAGCTATATTCCACACTACACAAATCAAAAATCCATGATAGGTGCTCTTTAAATAGACTTCATTAACTCTTTCCCTGTCATCTTCACGTGTTTTCAATGTTATATGGTAGGGGGCGCTATTACACATCTGAAATAGTACAGATTCTCCTGATCAAAAAACATATGAAGAAGAAGCAGAAACAAGCGATATCATATGTATGAGCAGATGCATATTTAAAATAACGCGATCATCATAATTATCATCAAATAAATTACGTATAAACAGCACATAAATCAAAACTGCCTAATGTTACTGAATGAAATGTCGACCCAGGGCGAGCTATAGGGACTGTGCAAAGCATTAGGAGAGTTAATGGACTCGATCGACTCAATCTATGTTTTGATCATCATTCTGAATCCGATCTGAATGTAACAGTTGGTCTTCGCAAAAACGGTTGTTAACGATAACAACACTGATACAGTATATCAGAAATGTAATTGAGGCAGGCATATGTCCAAATGCAAAGAACACAAACGTAATGGAATATTTACGATTCTATTGAGTATTATCTAGGTGTTATGACTTATGTTCCTTAACACCTAAAGATGATTGGCTCTTAAAACACAGAGCAATAAGGACAAGGTGAGGACAATGTGTCTTCTGAGTGCTCTGAGGGACAAAACAGCCATCAGGAGAGAGAGAGAGAGAGAGAGAGAGAGAGAGAGAGAGAGAGAGAGAGAGAGAGAGAGAGAGAGAGAGAGAGAGAGCAAACTAAACCAAACCCCATCAGTCTCCTGGCTTTAATTAAATGATGTGCTAAGGGCAGGAGCCAGGAATTGTGGGAGAGGGAATGATTTATTGGGCTGCCCCAGCACTAAGCGAAATTACTATGCAATGCTGCAAAGCTTCCTACAGTACTGTAATCTCAGTGCCTGCCTAGAGTAAAACAATGCACCAGCACACCCAGAAACCTGCGCAGTGGTTTAGTGGCTTCTCAGTTTACCCGCAGTAGGTATTACTGACTCTAGTCCCAAATGCCTTCCAGGAAACCACACAAGCCACAAATCACATTGTGGGATAGGTGCCATGGGGATGTTCTATTGTGGATTGAACCTAAGCGTCCCCTGATGTTTAGGCACCCCGCTGCTTATACATACAGAAGATTGTGTGGAAACATGTGACCTGCGTATCTGTGTCAAGGTTGCGCTTGCTTTGAATTCCATCCAGCTGCAGTTGTTAAAGTCTATGTGTGTGTGCATCTCTCATTTATTGTTCTTTAAGCAAATCCACTTGGAATGTAGAGGACATTAAGTCTCACCTTTTGTCCAGGTCTTCCAATTTCACCCTGGCAACACAGAGGAAGGGAGGAGGAAATAAGAACAGAGTCAGTCCATCAGTGTGTTACACAATATATACAGTCTTGTTCTAATTGACTTAAAGGAATAGGTCATCATTTATCCGGCAATTGTAAACCTTTATTTCTTCTTTGGAACCCAAAATGTGACATTTTAAAGGGTTATTTCACCCAAAAAAGAAAATTCCTAAGAATGAACCTCATTGGTTCTTGCAGAAGCTCAAATGTGCCATATAACACGAGAATGAAACTCATTGGTTCTTGCAAAAGCTCAAATGTGCCATATAACATGAGAATGAACCTCATTGGTTCTTGCAAAAGCTCAGATGTGCCATATAACACGAGAATGAACCTCATTGGTTCTTGCAAAAGCTCAAATGTGCCATATAACACGAGAATGAACCTCATTGGTTCTTGCAGAAGCTCAAATGTGCCATATAACACGAGAATGAACCTCATTGGTTCTTGCAGAAGCTCAAATGTGCCATATAACACGAGAATGAACCTCATTGGTTCTTGCAGAAGCTCAAATGTGCCATATAACACGAGAATGAACCTCATTGGTTCTTGCAGAAGCTCAAATGTGCCATATAAGATGAGAATGAACCTCATTGGTTCTTGCAGAAGCTCAAATGTGCCATATAAGATGAGAATGAACCTCATTGGTTCTTGCAGAAGCTCAAATGTGCCATATAACACGAGAATGAACCTCATTGGTTCTTGCAGAAGCTCAAATGTGCCATATAACACGAGAATGAACCTCATTGGTTCTTGCAGAAGCTCAAATGTGCCATATAAGATGAGAATGAACCTCATTGGTTCTTGCAGAAGCTCAAATGTGCCATATAACATGAGAATGAACCTAATTGGTTCTTGCAAAAGCTCAAATGTGCCATATAACATGAGAATGAACCTCATTGGTTCTTGCAGAAGCTCAAATGTGCCATATAACACGAGAATGAACCTCATTGGTTCTTGCAGAAGCTCAAATGTGCTGCGTAACACGAGAATGAACCTCATTGGTTCTTTCAGAAGCTCAAATGTGCTGCGTAACACGAGAATGAACCTCATTGGTTCTTGCAGAAGCTCAAACGTGCTGCGTAACACGAGAATGAAACACATTGGTTCTCACACATCAAGCGAACATGCTTGAGCTTCTGTTTACCCCCAAGTAATGTGTGTGTTGATGAATGTTTAAATTTGAATAAAAGCCTAAATTCAATATGTTCATATAAGCAAACGAGTCTCTTCAGAAAATTTGGACTAAACTACTAAATTCACATTGATTAGTTTTATGATCTGTTTATGAACTTTTTGAAGCGTCAAAGTGGTAGTTGGGCGTCAGTTGCGCGGTGGTTCATGTAGGTTGTCTATAAACCGGAAGGTTGGTGGTTCAATCCTCAGTTCCACCTGACCAAGTGTCGAGGTGTCCATGAGAAAGACACCTATCACCAGCAGCTTCTGACGAGCTGGCTGGCTCCTTGCATGGCAGACATCTCCGTCGGTGTGTGAATGAGTGAATGTGAGGCAATATGTAAAGCGCTTTGGTGGCCATTGGGCCTGTGAAAGCGCTATATAAATGCAGTCTATTTACCATTCAGTTGCGTAGCTGCAGAAAGCGCTCAGATTTCATCAAAAAGTTATTTATTTGTGCTACCAAGATGAATGAAAGTCTTACGGGTTTGAAATGACATGAGGGTGAGTAATTAATGACAGAATTTTCATTTTTAGGTGAACAAACCCTTTAAAGAATGCAAATCATTGGGTCCAAAACAACACTGGACTACATTAGATTCATTGTACAGAAAACATTAAGACATTTTTCAAAATATCTTTTTACGTGTTCCTCAGAAGTAAGAAGGTAATAAAGGTTTGGAGTGACATGAGAATGACATAAGAATGAACGGTCCTTTTAAACACAGATGACGGGTTTTGCCATGTGAATTAAAGGAATCCACAAGGTTGCCATTAACAGCATCTGTGGCATGATGATATTTACCACATAAAATTATTCAGTTACACTTTATTTTTTAGATGTCCGTGTTACAGTGTGATTATACATGTAAATATTGAGTAATAAAAATTAGATACATGTACTTATAAAGCTACATGTACTTAGAATCAGGATGTGGTTTAGGTTAGTTGCATGTAATTCACAATTTACTGTAAGAACTACATGTAACATGTAACAAGGACATTGTAAAATAAAGTGTTACCAATTATTTCTGGCCCATCCCTCAGTTTGTAAAACAAGTGTTTGTAATCTACTTGCAATAGAAGTCTATACGGGGCAAGGCATAAATGTTAATGGTAAAAAAAAAAAAAAAAAAAAAAACATATCCACAAAACTTAAATATTATAGGTGTTAAAATAGAGAATTTGCTTACAAACATTGTCAGTGCAAAGTTATCCATTTTTTTAAACTCCTGTCATGCATGTTAATTCTGTAATCCTAGATGTGTGATTTTTGTTCATTTTTAAAAACTAAGAGAAATTATTGTTTATTATAGTAACTGACAGAATGTTGATGCTGTCGTTAAAATTTTTTTGTTGGAACATATAAACAATAATAATAATTAGGGCTGTGAAATGATTAATCGTGATTAATCACATCCAAAAGAAAAGTTTGTGTTTACATAATATATGTGTGTGTAGTGTGTATTGTTATTTTGTATATATAAATACACACATACTCATGTATCTATTTAAGAAAAATGTGTTATTAATATATAAAATATTTATATTTATGTATAATATTAATTTTGTATAAATATATATAAAGTATATACATGCAAATATTTCTTAAATGTATACATGCATGTGTGTGTATTTATATATACAAAATAATTATACACACTAAACACACATATATTATGTAAATAAAAACTTTTATTTTGGATGCGATTAATCGTTTCACAGCCCAAATAATAATAAGACATATATTAAAGTATGAGTAATATAAGTAACATAAGACAGTAATTAATAATTAGTAAATAGGTTTCAGGGTAGGTTCAGGGTTAGTACCTAGTTATTAGCCAGTTATTATAATCAATAAAAATACATAATATGTATTATGCTATAAAGGACTGTAAAATAAAGTGGTACCATAATAATAATATCTTATTTGTTTCCACTGGTTTCTCACTGGATCACTAAGATATGTACTGTATACAGTATTTACACAAGTAAGTGTCGTACCTTATCTCCCTTTGGTCCCTTTGGTCCTGGCAGTCCAGAAGGACCCTGATCATAACACAGACAATGCAAAACTTTATAGAAAACCTCTTACAATTTCAGGTAATATCACAGTCTAAAGCCAAAGTATCTATTGACCAAGTCTTCCTGGCCGACAATCACAACAATAATATTCACCACATAATTGAAAACCTATGACAGGGATCAAACTCTTTTCAGAGTGAACTTGCAGGGAAGGGGTGAACTCTCTCTGGGGGCTTCGAGTGCCTGTGTGTCTCTCTTGGGGTTGTTTCTAAGAATGGCACGATGGAGCAGAGACTGGCAATGGAAAAAGGTCTATTTCCATCTGCTCTAAATGTGGAGCGTTAATGGCCTGCTGTGTCGTGGGGGGCCAAACTGGTCACATCCGTGTCACTACAGAAAGACGTCTGGGGAACTCACACGGGTCTCACTTGAGTAGAGGGTTATGAAGGCTAATTACAGAGCTGGAACTGACCATTGTGACAACCCAATAATACTCGGCTTCCTTGAAGCACCTTCACCAACTATGCAACCCTCAACAATTTTGCATGTGACTGCTGTTATTACTTATGAATAAATACTTAACATTTGAGTTTGACAGAGTCTGTACTGGTAAACAAATCTTATGTCTCATTGACATGATGCTATTTTTTATTCACATCTATTAATTTATTCAGAAATACATACAAATGACATTGACTTGAATAGAATTTTTCTATGATGAGCAAGTTTAAATTTTTTTCTATTAAAATTCATAAAGAAACAAAAGTCACGCTGATACAACTGTCCTGAGTATCTGTAAGGTTTTATTTGGGGTTATTATGTTTCTACGACAACAATGTACTGAAAACGGAATTTTTTTTTTCTTGTTACAACAATCCCCGTTCAAATGGGTCTGAAACGCTAAAAACGACTAAAACGCTGTATTGTGCTGCCAGGCCAGTATTTGGCAATGTCATTTTGTCACTTTTAAAATAAAGACTACGTGCCTGCGTACATACACACCAAATGCACTGAACACGTAATACACATGTGCATACCGTCACTTTTTCCACAGATTTTGTACTTTACACAGAGATGATAACGGTATCGTTTTGAAACCCCTTTTCAAAAGTCTGCATTTTGAGGCCCCCAAAGTGCCATTGACATGTAAACGAACAGCCAAAATGAAAAGTTTAAAAAAAATTGTTGTAAACAGTGTGTAAATAGTGCTTAAAGGAGAACTCTGGCACAAAATGAACCTTTGGTCTAATAAAACATCTGTACCTAGTCAATCGTTCTCTGAGATTTGTTTACATGATAATCGAATGTAAAGAGTTTTATCTCTAAAAACTGTTTAGATTGTAAACTACTATATGGGGGCTTTTAATAAGTAAAAAAAAAAATCGCTAGTTTATACCACTAACAAGGCTCAAAATAGCCCCACACTATCACAGTAACATAATGAGGCTCCATACATGCAAAACGAAGCATTGAGAACTTTGTACGTGTACAGACCGTTTAATAAGAAGATACTTTATAAAGTCAGTTCACTTTGCGTATACAGACAGGAGCCATCTTGGAAAATAGTCTCGATAAGTCGATCCCCGATCACCGCTCATACAGTTCAGAAGTTCACTGAACTTCATACAGTTCAGCTCACTCAGCACGACGTTCGTGGTTTGACTTATTGTTACTGTTTTCCAAGACGGCTGCTGTCTGTATACACAAAGTGAACTGTCTTCATAAAGTATCTTCTTATTAAACGGTCTGTACACTTACAAAGTTCTCAATGCTTCGTTTTGTATGTATAGACCCTCATTATGTTACTGTGATAGTGTGGGTCTATTTTGAGCCTTGTTAGTGGTATAAACTAGCGATTTCTTTTTACATACTAAATGCCCCCATTACTAGCGTAATACGCTAAACAGTTTTTAGAGATAAAACTCTTTACATTCGATTATCATGAAAACAAATCTCAGAGAACGGTCGACTAGGTACCGATGGTTCATTTTGCGCCAGAGTTCTCCTTTAAGTTTGATTTTCCCTGTTCCTGTTTGCCTGAGTTCTCATTTAATATTTGTTGTCATGGTTACGAATTGCTTTGTGCACCCGTTTCTTGTTTAGTTTGTTTTCTCCTGTGTTTTTAAGCCCTCAGTTTAGTTGGGCTCATTGTCCAGTATTATCTTTGCTTTGGTTTTCTCCTGTGGAGTGTTTTCATGACTGCAAAAGCATAAAGATCAATTGAGAATTAAGAATGTATGATTTTCTTAGACGAAAATATATATTTTTATAAATATATATTCAATATCTAAAAATATATTGAAAATAATAGCAAATTTCTGTTCAACAATTAGACAAAAAAGCAACATGGTGTGACCAACAATAATATTTATATTCATGATACTTGATATGATAGTTACAACACATGACATCCAATTAGAATCAAGGACTGGAATTTTTTTTTTTTTTCAAAACTAAAAGCAATATTTTAGGAATCTTGTATATTCTGCATAAGCTCTTGTACACAGTGTTTGCCATTCAAACAGTGTAAAAATCAAACTAGCCTTCAAACAACAACAGATTTTCGCTGATTTGAGTTGATTACAGTCACAGTTTTATTTAAAATCTGTGACCAAAAAACGTACTCTATGTGAATGCATATGGTTTCGTCCTCAACATTACATCACATTTGAAGCACATACCTGAGGGCCAGGAGGTCCTGCTGGTCCTGGAGGCCCTGGGGAACATATGTGGGTTGTGGGATTGTGCTTCTCTTCTGAGTTCACCTCTTTTGGTGTAACACCAGTCTCAGTCTATAAGACAAGTCACGTAAAATAACATCTGAGAAATATGATATGAACTGTACAGTCTTCAGTGGTAATCACAAACCTCTTTTGACCTTTATTTGCATTTATTTATCAAAGTGATGTAGACACAGCTGTTGTGGTTCTGGGGAAAAACTTAATGTATTTACTCACACCCTGAACACTTGATGTAACCCTTGACCGGTAACCTACATAAAATGCACGTGTCAGGACTCACCAGAGACCCCTGCCGCCACAGTGAAGGGGGTGGAGGGAAGAGAGGGGGCGGAGGTGGACTCAGTAAACAGCAGGGGTTGAATTTCTTTCTGGTTTCCAGCAACTGGAGATCTAGATGTGGGGAAATGAGGTTCATGAGGAACATGTCAACAGACACGTGGGACAGCGGAACAGGGTTTCAAGCCACTGTTTTGGAAAAGAGAGACTGAAACACATGACCCCTACGATAGTCATCATGTGGACAAGAGTGTAACGAAAGGCCATTCATTCCTGAAACTACCGGATATTTAGAGATTTATCTGTAAACACACGACGCTAGAGCTTTTCTAAGAAATAAGGCATTTATGATGACTTCAACTGGTGTCAGGGTGATTTTTAGAGATTCTATTAAGTCAGTTCACATCAAGTTCACACAGTTACGTTTACATTAAATAATTTAGCAGACGCTTTTATCCAAAGCAACTTACAAATAAGGAGAATAATGGAAGCAATATGACCATTGAGAGGGAAACAGTAAACAAGTGCTGTAACAGCACAGTACACTTAATAAGGTTAAATAGAATAGTATAGAATAGAAAAGGTAAGTGCTAGTATTGATTGGTCAGGTGCACAAGAAAAAGATGCGTACTAAATAAATGCAGTTCATCCTTACTTTAATTATAAGTATATATTTATTATTATAGTTACTTTATTATTTATAAAGCCTTTTCATTACTATGAAAAGGATCCACTAACATCTGAAAATTACTTGTTCTTGCCATATTGAACAGTATATGCATTGTTTTTATCAACCTAATGTCTTTTGAATATTTGTGGTTATGTATAATCTGTCTTTATTTAAAATAAATGGTACTTGTATATAATGCGTATATAATGCAATGATATTCATAAGTATGATTTTATTGTTGAAATACTTTCCCACATTTATTATATATATATATATATATATATATATATATGAAGAGTTCAGATGCAAAAGCCTCTAAATGCCATTTGAAATTTTCTGCTTTAATGATGATTTTTATCAAACTTGTATATTTAAGTTCAGTAATTTCACTTAAATAACAATTAATAGGTAATTATCATTGCCTTTTAAGTGAAATTACTGAACTTAAATATACAAGTTTGATAAAAATCCTCATTAAAGAAGAAAATTTCAAATGGCATTTAGAGGCTTTTGCATCTGAACTCTTCATATATATATATATATATATATATATATATATATTTTATTGCTGCGCAGGTGAAAAAAAGTGACCATATATACATGTATCACAGTACATTAACATATAAAGTAATATAAAGTCTTTTGAATATTTGTGGTTATGTATAATCTGTCTTTATTTAAAATAAATGGTACTTGTATACAATGCATATATAATGCAATGATATTCATACATTAAGTTTGACTTTATTGTTGAAATATATATATATATATATATATATATATATAAAATTAAATAAAATAAAATAAAATTTCAAATGGCATTTAGAGGCTTTTGCATCTGAACTCTTCATATATATTTATATATATATATATATATATATATATATATATATATATATATATATATATATATATATATATATAATTGCTGTGCAGGAGAAAAAAGTGACCATATATACATGTATCACAGTACATTAACATATAAAGTACAAAAAAATCTGTTAACTTTGCAAAAAAAAAACAAAAAACAACCACTTGCCTAATTAAACTTTTCACTGCACTATTGGCCGGCAAAACTGAAACCCTGCCATTTTGCCATTAGAGATAATAGCCAGAGATAATTCATTGATGCCTGTGGGGAAATTTATTGCAAAATCAGGGCAACATCTCATAACAAGCAGTGCAACCCGAGTCAAGTTATGCATATTCTGCAACTGCATTTATTTAATTTGCATTATTAAACAAGCTTCTGTTGCTGAAAAGTCAAATTTGCATATTGTGCAAAAAAAACTTCCCTCTGTAAGAGAAAACCCCTAATATCAGCACCTACCAAACATGTGCAAAAGAGAGTGATGTCTTACCTGTTGGGAGAGGGAATATGTTCTCCACGTAAGAGAATGACGACACATAGCAGAGGAGTTGAAAATATAGTCCAAGAGACAACAGAATCATTCTGCCGGCTGCCGTCTACCTCCAATCGCACCGAGGAGTGATCTGAGGCAGTCCCGCACTACTCCTCTCTCTCTCTCTCTCTCTCTCACACACACACACACACACACTAGATCCACGCCTTTAGGAGAAGTGAATGCCAGCCAATGTCTGTTACACCTCTCCCATGTATTGGCCCTGAGCTAAATATACAGGAGGCAGCCGGTCAGCTGCCCTCTGTAGCCAATATTAGCCTGTTACTACTGCCAGCACTGCCTTTGTTTCCCCTGCCTCAAATGGACAGAGAAAACAAAACAGTATGGATAGAAATGACATTGAAGTGACAATGTGTCATGCAAGTGGTGAAGTTGAATTACAGGCATCTGTTTGTATAGAACGATAGAAAGTCAAACCTGCTGGGTTTGGTTTGGTTCTCGAAATGAGAACTTAAATCTCACATGCCAGCATGCTTCGTAGTGGAATATCACAGATGTTTTCCAGTCTACCTCGCCCTCCCTCTCTCTCTCTCTCTCTGTCCTTTTTGTTTTCCTCTTCAGGACTTATCGACCACCACTGCTCACAATTTATTGGCGCCTTTACTTTCCCTCAGAATTAATGACAGAGCAATTATGAAGAGGGCCGTTTAAAAGGCTGATGGGAGATGCAGTCTGTAAACGCCTGCAATCAGACAAAGTGCAGAACCAAGGAGACAGGAGAGAAAGACAGAGGCAGAGATGGCTTCTTATGAATCGCATTTTAATTTTACAACAATAGAGCATCACATTATGGTACATTCATTGTTTCTTATCACAAGAAAAATAGCACTTTTATACAATAACAATAAGGCCATTTTTGTAAGTGCACAATAATTAACACATTTATAAGGCTTTTATAATGTGAACATTCTCACCTTGTGGAAATTGTTCTTTTATATGCTGTTAAACTGTTGAGAACATTGTGAAAATGATGTGATCTGCCAAGGCCGAGGAGGAGAAGCACTCTCACTCTGTGATAAAGCACCACAGTAATGATGATACCTTATAAAAGAGAGGCCAGGAGAAAGACCTCAATTACAGATACTGAGATGAGCTTAAACAGAAGTCCTCAAGAGCAGTGCACACAACACTGACCTGAGATCAGAGGTTAAAACACTCAAAATATACAAAGATTAATTGGAACAGTAAAATAAAATGATTAAGCATACATTATTAACTAGTGAAATGTCCCTCAACTTGTTATTTGACATTGTTATTTAGCATTTTCTCTTTAAAGGGGTGATGAACTGAGAAATTGAATTTTCCTTGAGCTTTTGACATCTAAGAGGTCATTATATTATAAGAATATCCTGTAAGTTTCAGAACTGAAAACGTCCTTGTTAGTCCAATAAAAGCTTTTACTGACACCAGCCTCAGCAAACGACTCGTTTTTCAAAGTGGGGAACTATGACGTAGACGACGGGTGAGTTGAAACTCATTATAATATGCAAAACTGTTATCCACTCACAGCAGTGGGCGTTTACTTCCAAGTCTTCAGTGCGAGACGCCCATTAAAACCGTGCGTTTCTGAGCTAGGTGCAAAACTAGGGTAGAAAATAGCTTATTACTTATTCATTTTGATGTTTTTGAATGCAAAAAACCAAGCGAACGGCATAAGTTGACCTCAGAGAACAATATCATAAAATTTAAAAAGCCAGTTCATGACCGCTTTAAAAGGAGAAGTTCACCCAAAAATTCTGTCATCATTTACATGTCATGACTGACTTTCTTCTGTGGAACAAAAAACATATTTGGAAGAATCTTCCCACTGCTCTTTTATAGCTATAAAAAAGAATAAAACATGAATATTATCTGTGAATAATTACTTAAAAGTTAGCTTACTTCTCATATAAAGCTGTAGGGTAAAACTTTACTTGAATGAGTTTACATAAGACTGGATGACACCTTAATAACCATGACATGACATATGTCATGAATATGAAATAGGGTTTATGACAACTGTCATTAAGTGTCATTCACTCAATAATGACATACTTTGTAATGATGTCTTTGTAATGACATCTTGGCATAAACCATAACATCAAAACCTGTCAGTGTCTTTGTCATGACAACTTGACATTAAATGTGGTTGGCTTTGACATTGGCTGTCATGAATATTTTTCGTGACCTCAACTAGAGTGGTACACAGTGAATTTGTCATTAAAAAGGTTATAATGGCTTCATGACAGCCAATGTCAAAACAAACCTGACAGTTTAATGTAATTTTAACCAATAAAGCTAGTGGTTTCTTAAGTTTGATAATTAATCTGCTATGACAGGTTTTGTTGTCTTAGTAATGTCAAGTTGTCATGAGAAAGACACTGACAGGTTATGGTGTATGGGTTTATGTCAAAATGTCATAAACAAGACTCAAACAATGTCATATTTGCATTAAAAATGTCATAACTGAGCCAATGACACTTAATGACAGTTGTCATAACATGCATTCATATTCATTACATATGTCATGTCATGATTATGAAGGTGTCATGTTAGTCTTATGCACACCCCTTCAAGTGAAGTGTTACCATTTGGATATAACTTAAAAGACTCGCACACATCATATGGGTTGACAGACATGGTCACTATAAAGTACTGAAGGGATGTCTTTTTTTTGTATGCCAACCAGGAATGTACTGTGGCCCCTGCTTCCCTCGACAAAAAAAATCAATAGGAGTTTTTTTTCATTGGCTTTTAAGTTATTGCAGGCAATATGCTTCGTGAACAACAACAAAAGTTTGAGTTTCTTACATGTTTCATAAATCAACATTTTGAAGCCTAAAATACAATCAGCAGCAATAAAAGGCTAAATTTAGGCTTTAAATGGACTTCACCACAGCCACATGACCTCAACGTCACCATCACCAAGCTATTTCAAATCTACAAGGTGGAAAGTTGTAGGGTTAAAATAGAGTTTACAAGAGCATGAGTATAGAGTGAGGGCACGAGTGAGGTATATGTTGTGAAAATATCTTTAGCTTATTTCAGATATTTCACCAAAAACACATTGACTTCAGAAAAATTGAATTAATTTATTGGATTGTATATAAAGCAATGAACAAAACAACAACAACAAAAATCAAATTTAGGGTTCCACAAGGAACATAAAATCAAACAAAATTTGGAACGACATGAGGTAAATGATAACAGAATTTTTCATTTTTTGGGCGAATTGTTCCTTTTAAGTTTTTAAAGGAAAAATGGAATCTCTAAAAATTTATTTCAGTCAGTTGTAGAGACTGAAGATCATGTAAAATTATAGATTTGGTTATTTTTATAGGAAACGGTGCCACCTACAGTAAATCAGTCAATTGACAAACGTAGTGTAAGATGCAGTGTGATCCGACCTCCGATACCTCTGTCAGCTTTTAAAGATTTGACCGGGTCAGCCAGGGAAACTCCTAGGAGAAAAACACAGTCTCATTATGATATAAACATTAAAGACAACGAAAGTTTACACTTGAATAAACTCCTGTTTACTTCGAACTTTGTAACACTATAAAGTTTCCATTCATTGTTGGGGAAGCCCTTTGAGTGTCGGTGTGAGAGAGTTTCAGTGTTCCAGCTCACTATGACACCCAATCCTTCAATACGTCTGCGTGTGGTTGCCAGGATACAACCAGCACAACAAAGAGGGTCACAACTTTCAATAATGGGGCCTCATAACTTTCAAGAATAGAAAGGTCAGATATGTTTAAGGTGAGTGTATATGAGAGAGGGAGAGGTATATAAAAAACAGTGTGTTGAAATGTAAGGTTACACATGTCTTGTGATGTTATGAACACTTAACAGGCATGCTGTACATGTCAAAGGTCCAACAACCCCACACTATCCAATTGACACTTACATAGACTGCCTGTTTTTCCTGTGTAAGAATATACAACGGAGTTGTGTTTTATATAAATTGTTATACTATGGGGCTGATAAATGCTTGAAACTGATTGGTTGACAAACTTTCTTAAGTGTGCAATTCAGGGAAACGCACGGCTAAAGTAGTCAAAGGCATTACAGTTCCATAGCACTTCGCCAAAAGTGGTTTGTTATTTCAGCCGACAACAGCAAAGCAACCAAAACCTGCTACGACGTAAATAAATATAGTAAACAATAGGACAAAAATTCAATTAAATTTGGAATTGGCACAAAATTAAATTTTATTTGAGCACATTTTCTCTTTTTCTCACACTGATGATTATATCAGTAAAATAGTTTAGCAACTTAAAAGCTACATGACATTTCTCAGTAGCTAGGTAATAACGGCACTATTTTTGGAGCAGATCAACTTAGTTTCTCTAAAAGTAGAGATGCTACTGCCGAACACTGTTGAGACACGCACAGACTAGTGAACTTATGCTTAATCTCGCTCTCTCTTAAACATCAAATTGATCTAATTATTGATAACTGCAAACATTATGGTTTAATCGTTTTCCTCAAAAACTTTAATCATCCCAATATAGACTTATCGAATACAGACAGTCGTAATTCATATTCTTGTAACCACAGCCATGTACAAGTGATCTGAGGGCGTGGACGCTTTGGTCTGCTCAAGCGCCGGAAGTGATATCTCGTGCATGTACGTCATTCATTGTTTACACAGATATTTCGGAAGCGTTACCTTTCACTGTGAAGATCTAAACATATTTAGATATATGGGAAATCGCAATGGAAGACGATTTCGATATATTTTTTCAGAAACTGCACGAGAGATCATTCCGGTGCTTTCCAGCACTTGCAGACCAAAGCGCCCTTGCCTTCAGATCAGTTGGACGTGGCTGTGGTTAAAAGAGGTAAAAACGATATAAATACTGTTCTTTTTCTCACACAAACTGCTTGTTTCGTGTCTCTTTGAGGTGGTGACCATAGATCTCCATTATATGACTGACAGACAAGAACGGTTTGAACTAAAAACATCAAAATTGAAAATACTGTGGAAACAAAGACACCTACATCTTGGATGTCCTTGAGGTAAGCTAAAACATATCAAAAATTAATTTCAAACTGAACTATCCCTTTAAGCTTTGTCTAATTGTAATGCTCTATAATGTGACATGTTGTTTGTATTGTATTCTTGCAGTTCTGTAATAAAACAAGGTGATCAGACCCTTAAGTATTGCACATTCACATTCAGTACGGCTTGCGCGCTCCCATTTGAATCAGGAAATATTTGATAGCTTTTTTCTTTGTTTCACAATACTCATTTAATGATTGTAAACTGAGGTGGGTGTCTTTAGAAGAAGTATCTGTTCTGAATTTTACATAAATAAATCAACAATCCCGTACTAAGGGCTGCAGCAGAGGTTCCTGAGGTGTGTGCGGTACCTGTTGTTTGCGGTCTGAGGCCGGGTCTATAAGTACGTTGATGAGACTGGGCATCTCTGTGTTTTTCAGACTCTCCTGTAGTGCACTGCGGAGTTCTTCCACCGTTCGAACCAGATACCCATGACCCCTAAACGCAGTCATCACCTGCTCGTACCGTGCCTCTGGTAGCAGGGTCACCGGAGGAGCACTAAGACACACACAGGTCAGTATTATAGCCAGCGTTTGATACCAGCTGACTTCAACAGAAATGAAGCCAATTGATAGCGATCTGTTAAAAATGTATTTAATTCAATTTACTTATTGACTATAAATTTATACATACA